ATGGGCACCGAGTCGGAGTCGGTGGGCAACCCTCTGCCGACGCGACCTGAGGGGCCCTCAGCGCCGACGCAAACTGCAGGGGCCTCCCCAGTCGGCAAGTCGACAGGGGGAGCATCGTGGCAAGAATGCATGTGGCCACCCTCAGGCTCGAAACTGAGCTCCCCGAGTGATGTCAGGGAGGCCTCACGCGGATAAGGCCAGGGAGCTCCGGCAAACGCGGGAGCGCCGCCACCGCCGAGTGCCCGCAATGGGAAAGTGGGCGGCATCGTCCGCTCCTGCGGACGGATTGCCCAACCCGCAGGAGGAAACGACAGGGGGAGGGGCATCGGCCTTGCAACTGCTGGACGCGTCGGTGTTGCAGAAGGCGGAAGAGGGTGCCGGGAAGGACACGGGCGCCGTAGATCCGATCTGCGCTGACGAAGACGCAAACTCAGGTCTCGGCAGCGCAGGCGAAGATGGTGTCGCTGGTGGTAGAGGCAGTGCTGACGAAGATGCTGGCGCCGAGTATTTCGACTGCGCTAAAGAGGATGCCCTCCAGACCGCCACCTTAAACCCCCGTCGGCTTCATGTTATCTGGATTCACGGCCTGGGCAATACTCGCCCCCTCCAAATACGTAGGTTCGTGCGGCGTCGGCGCGCGCAAAAGATTTTGACGCCGCGTCGATCGCTCAACCTTGTATCGATCGCGGCCCCAATCATTCAAGGTTGAATTCCGTCGGGCCCCGCGTCGCAAACGCGCCCTTCGGTGCGAATGATGGATATAAGTACAATGATGCAATTGTGAAACACACCTGTTGGCTGTCTAGTGAGTTTCGCACGTGACGCCGCGCAGCGAACGTAAAGATGTTGCGCAAGACCCAATGTGGAAATAATAGGGCGACGGTGGAAGACATCGCCTGTTCCGCAGGTGACCCCCCGCCCAAATACCCGATCCCCTTTATCAGGGACAGCTCCCAAGCGTCTCAAGAAAACAACAGACGCTGGACACAGCCGACAACCATCAAGACGCCCAGGTGGCGAGAAACTTCTACTTGCGGGGTGGAGTAGGTAGATTGCGCGGCCGAAAATCACGTGCGCAGAGGGGAGATCCAACATGCCAATGGCGCTGGCGCGCATGCGGTTGGCACATGCTTTCACCTGTCGAGGCCCCCAGGGGGGATATCGAGCATGCGGCCGTCGGGTCCTTGACACGCAGGAACAAATACGTGTGCGAAGGGGGGATATCCAATATGCGTCAAGCGCGTGCGCAGCGTGTCTTTTCACATGTCCAGGCCCCGAGGGAGGTGTCGAGCATGTCCGATAAAGGTGGTAGTGACGAAGACGAAACGCGCAGTCCGCCCAGCACGGCGTATCACAGCACACCGCAAAGGAAAGCCCAGCGTAGCGTTGAGTTCAATACCACACGTGCAAACGCGAGCGTATGGCAGGCGTGTCCGAACAAGTCTGACTTTACTTCCTTACTAGATTCGTGGATCCCTCAAGGCTCGCGACGTCCGCGACGTCGGATCTCAGGAAAGCAGTGTTCGGACGTGCATCCTATGCTGCGCAGCGTCTGCCTCGAGGGGGCAGCACCACGAACGCGAGCGGCACGGCTTCCAAAAAGGCGGGTTTTGATGGCTTTCAACCACCACAAAAACTACGGACCTCCACAGAGCCCCTCGAGCCGTAACAAAAAACACCACGGATGGCTTTCGGCCATGTGCGGCCTCTGGGATCTTACCGGGCCCTTGGACCGTCAACAAAACTTCTCCCGAGAAAACAAGCAGCGCAAAACAACAAAAAACATAGCAAACAAACGAAGCGGCCCTGGGAACAGAGTTCCAGGCCTCCGAGGGTCTGCGCTGTGGAGGGGGGGGGGTTCTGGGCTTGTGACGGGGGGGGGGGGGCTAAGAGGAGGAGGGGGAGGAGGAACCCATACCTCACGAAGAACAGTGAGAGTATTGACCCTCGTGCTCGGGGCGCGCCAGCCGTTGTGCAACTCGTCCGAGATCGGTCGGCCTCCCATGGGTGGCCGACACTGGCACACGATCATCGGCAGATCAACTTGGCTGGTCAACAGCAGGCAGAGTGGACGGAGCACGGCACGTCGGCGGCGCGCACAGGTGTTCCTGCGCAGGGGGGCGGCCTCCGTCTGGGAAGTCGGGGAAGCTTCCATGAAGGCAGGGGGCTGACCATCCCTGGCACCACGGAGCCCCCATCCTTCGAGGAGGCCCCGGTCTTCGAGGAGGCCCCGGTCTTCGAAGAGGCCCCTCGGTCCTCTGAGAGCGCCCCTCGGTCTTCGAAGAGGCCTCCCGCCCTCTCAGAGAGCCGCCCTCCTCGCGCCACCCCCTCGTGCGCGCCGCCGCGTGTGGTGGCACCGTCCTGACGCACGCGGTCCAACCCAGTGACATTAGCAAGAACACACCGCTTCCTGTGACAGCTCGCTATCCCACTGGCGCGCTTACTACACCCTATCTTACTGGCAGGCGCATGGCCGACACATGCAAAGTCGAAGGATCTCCTGGATCGCCTGTAGGTCATCAGGATCCTCGCTGGGCGCGTCTTATGGAGTGGGGGCATGTGCTAACAGTCCTGCTCAAATCAAACGAACAATGCTGCGCTTGCGCATCAGACAGAAGTGCAATGACGGCTAAACCTCATACGCTGCGGCTGAATCATACAAAAAACGGACGTCTTCAACGGACAAACGAGATCCTGGGTTTAGAAAAAGTTATGCCAAACGAGAATCGAGAACCCACTCAGAAAGCTCGCGTCGGGCGCCGTTGCGCCGTGGCCAGCGGATACGTCCGCCGACCCGAGTGGCATGGCGTACGCGCAACTGTTTCGCACGATTGTTTCCATCTGGGGGGTCCGTAGCAGCTCCCGAGGACCCAAATCATGTCAAAACTTGTTTTCCATATATTCTGCAGCTCTTGATTATGATCCCTCGGATGGGCCTCCGAATCTTGTAGACGGCTTCAAGGTGGCCCTGAGGGAGCCCAACCCAACTGGCCTCGAGAAGACCCCATCCCCAAAACAGTTCGACAGGCCTCTAAAAGCCTCTCCACTACCCCGATGTGCCTGCAAAGACAGCACCGTTAAAAATCCAGAGAAGATCCAAGAAAGGCCCCAGGGAAACGCCCCAGAGTGGCACAGCAGCGGCCGCTCCAACAAAATCCAAGGACATCCCCGCTTGCGTCAGCGGCGTAGCGGGCGCCGCATCTCGGCGGCTGCAGACACGGGCCACACGGCATGCCAATCAGCCCCGTGCGAGATCGGGAGGACGAGGGAGCAGCGCCTAAGGGCAGCGGAATGAGGGCCACGGGAGCCGCCCCACCTTCACCGGGGGGCCCAGGGGAGTCTCGACCCCATCACCAGGGCCAACTGTTCAGCTTGACCAGTCTTTCAGCGGACCCTTGGGCCCAGTACGTAAAATAAGGGCCACCCAGGGGCAGAAAATGGCGCGAGAAAATTGTCCACAACAGGGCCCGGGTCCAAGGCTGGAAGCTCGACCTTCAGACACATGTTGGTGTGTCTATTCTGGCCAGAATTTCGGGGCGGATCCAGCCGTGGTGACGAAGAGGCGCCTCGTGATCCAGAAAAAGCGAACAATAACCAAGAAACTCGAAATTCGGCCCATGTGTCTGGAAAAGACGGGGCCGGCCGCTAAGAGCTTAGGCAGAAGAGCCGCAGGAGTGCCCCAATGACGACCCAGCATGTTCGAGGCACGCGGCTGGAGATGGGCCAGCCCCAGGGAGCAGTAGGACATCCCAGTCGATGATCCTTACATAATGGCAGCTATGCTCGCGCTTCGCCCTGCGCGAAGCGCGAATACTTTCACGCTTTCGCGCCGCCGCCCCGAGGAAGAAGATGGGGATCAGGTGGATAACTTCGCGCCCTGGTGGCGGCCCTGATCATTGAAAAAAAGTGCTGGCCCCAACGTGTGCTTGTCCACCGACGCCCCTCGATGCGACGCAGGCGGTGTTATGCGGTCTGACACGGGCTGCGCGCTGTCGGTGGAGCTGCACTTGGTAAGTACGCACTGGGCCGACCCTCGAAGAGGCGCACGTCCGAACGGAACGTGCGGCACGGAGAGGCTGTAGCATGCCACGTCATAGTCCAAGCATGGCCAGACCACGCCCTTCACGGCGCATACATCGGGGGCGCGCAAACATGGATTACCGATCCATGGATTTGGCGCGCGGTCGCCAAACCCATGGATAGGGGGAGGTGCCCTCCCCAAAATGCGGCCCGTGCCGCCTCGTTCGGCGGCGGAAATCCGCGATTTCCCATGGAAACGGGTCCCGTCGCGAATCCACGCCCCCTTGATCCATGTTTGCGATCGCCTGAATACACTGCATTGCAAGATTGCCCAGCACGCGCACCGCCCCTGCGGAAGCGACGCACACGTGGTGCACACAAGCCCGTCCGAATATCCGACCAAAGAACCCCGCGGCCCTGCGGCCCGGGAGGCGAACCCGACCAGGCGCTGGCTCGCTCCCCCGCCTCGCGCCCCCAGACTATCGGCGGCGACGACAGGGGCGAATGTCCCAGGGGCGGGCATTACATGTATTCGCCTGGGAGCCTTTTCGAAAGCATAGATCATCAGCGCACATGGATACATGTATTGCTCTCCCCTGGGCCATTCGCCCCTATCGTCGCCTCTGGGACTAGGGGAACAAGAAATGACACGAACATTAAAAACGCGGAGGTCCGCGCGGATTTCTCAGATCGGCGCTGGACACCCCTCCCTGGCCCGCGGAACGCGCCAGGGGCGGCGCCGGAGGCGCCGCCAGGGCGCCCCAGCGCCGATCCGAGAAAAACCGCGCGGACCTCCGCGTTTTTATGTCTATGCCATTGTTCGTTCCCCTGCAGACCCCCATCGCGTCGTGGTCCCCCTCATCCTGGCGCCCTGTACCCCATCAAGGCCTTGCACGACAAGCTGGCCCTGGCCTCCGCTGCTTTTACGCAGCTCACACGCTCTCTCGGCGGCAATCCGAGATGGTCTGCACGAGACCTGTCGTATACTGACTCCTCTCAGTACACGTTTTGTCGTAGAGTGACTCCTATGACGCCAGGAGCACTCGGCTACCACTGGAAAAACCATCCTGCTTTCCCACAGGCCTTCATCAGGCATCCTGTCTGATGAGGATGGATATGACTCCTGGGCTACCATGAGCTCGCAAGGTCCCTTACATCCGAAACGTCAGCGGCACGCGGCAGTGGGCACAGGACGGAACTGAACAGGTCTGAGGGATACTGATGGCAAAATCCTCCTCCTCCGAGCCTCCTCCTCCGCCTCCTCCTCCTCATCCTCCTCCTCCTCCTCCTCCTCCTCCTCCTCTCCCTCCTCCTCCTCCTCCTCCTCCTCCTCCTCCTCCTCCTCCTTGTCCTCCTACCCTTACTCTTCCTTATCCCCGTCCGCGCTGCTGTCCCTTCTGCAGAGAGCACCCCGAGCAGCCCATGGGACGTGATCCGGGGGCCCTTCCCTCTGGGGGAGGACCAGCGGAGCGGCGGAAGGCAGGCTGGTGCCGTGACGCCTCGGGCCCTGCTCTCTGCCCTACCACCGCGAGTGGGCCGCTCACCCTTGAATGATCGGCGCCTTCCAGGAGCGCAGATCGCTCGACGTCGGCCGTTTCCGGGCCACTGGCAGCGTTCAACCTTGAACGGCCGCGCCAGGGTAGCCACCGCGTCGACACGGCACGAACCTGCCGTGGGCTTCCAGTATAGACACCGAGATTCATGTCTGGACCTCCAGGATGCCCTGAGGAGAAAATCAGGACTGGCTTGCGGGCACCGGTGCCATTGGAAGGCGATCTGTGATGAGAAGCTGGCCCCTGGGAAAGGGTCGGAAACCCTAGGGCTCACCTGTTCCACAAGGAGCGTTGCACCTAGGGGTCCTCACTGCTTAACGAAGGGATCGGGTGGGTGGTCCGAGGGTCTACTCTTCGGGTGGCCGCCCCGTGCCCGCCCGTGCCGCCCCGTGGCCGCCCGTGGCCGCCCAGCGTAGCTTGTACCACATAGTTTGCACCACACTCCTTGCACCGCCTGGCATGCTCCACGTAGACTGCGCCACAGAACTGTCTCCACACAGCTTGGACCATACAGGTTGTGCACCTCCCAGCTTGCACCACATCCCTACACCCACGTGACCGCCTCGTGGCCGCCTCGTCTGCGCGTGGCCGCCTCGTGGCCGCCTCGTGCGCCAGGTGGGTCTGGCGAGGGTTCGCCATGTTGCCGCCCGTGGCCGACTCGTGGCCACCTCTAGCTTACACCACGTAGACTCTCGTTTCTAGAAAAGAGATAAGTTCTACCACCCTCCCCCCCGGACTTAAAGGGCCCCCCTTTTCGTACTGCAATGTGATATGCTTCTGCCCCATCGTCCATCATTAAACGAATTTACACTATCCTACGGGGCCGGCATCGCCCCCCCCCGCCATCTTTTGCGAAAAAACACTATGTGCGCACCCTCGTTATCAAGAATCAGAAGTTGTCAAGAAACCTTCGCGGAAACCGAAACGAAGTGCACACGCGCGCGTCGTTGCGCGCGCATGCCGAAACCCTTCAAAAACTTTCGGTTTCGAAGGATTTCAAAATCGAGTTTCCAAAACACGGATTTCCTAAAAAAAGCTTACGCGCGCGCGCTCTTGCGAAATCTTGAGACAACCATAGGTTTTCCAACATTCACAGAAAATCTACCAAACGGGCTTCGCGCGCGCGCATGTCGAAATCGTTCGAACGCCCTTGCGCGCGTGCCGTCGCGAGAATCCTTTGCAAAATGGGACGAAGTGCACGCGCGCGTCGTCGCGCGCGCATGCCGAAATCCTTCAAAAACCTTCGGTTTCGGAAGGAGTTCAAAATCGAGTGTCCAAAAACATACAAATACACTTGATTTCGCAACACGGATTTTCAACAATTGCGTGCGCACGCGCTCTTGCGTCGTCCTCGTCGTCGTCGCCGTCCTCCCTCCTCCACCGTCGTCGTAGTCGTCGTCGCTGTCGTCGACCTCTCTTTCCTCGTCGTCGTCGTCGTCCTCTTTGGCGTCGTCGTCTTTTCCGTCGTCGTTGTCCTTCCTCCTCCCTCGCCGTCGTCGTCGCCGTCGTCGTCGGCGTCTCGTCGTCGTCCCTCCTATTTCGTCGCCGTCGTCGTCGTCGTCTTCCCTTCTCCCTCGTCGTTGTCGTCGTCGGCGTCGCCGTCCTCCCTCCTTCTTCGTCGTTCGCGTTGTCGCCGCCCTCCCTCCGCCGTTGTCGTCGTTGTCGCCGTCGTCGTCCTCCCTCCTCCCTCGTCGTCGTCGTCGTCTTCGTGGGCGACGTCGTCGTCGTCGTCGGCGTCGTCGTCGTCGGCATCGTCGTCGTCGTCGGCGTCATCGTCGTCGTCGTCGGCGGCGTCGACGTCGTCGTGGTCGTCGTCGGTGTCGTCGTCGTCGTTGTCGTCGACGGGGGGACGCAGAAAAATGCTCGCCCCAGCTGTGATCGATCGCCCGACAGATGGCCCCAAGATACCTCCCAGACCCCTCCCAAAGAGCCCCAAGAGGCCCCAAGAGGCCTCCAAGAGGCCCCCAAGATGCCCCCAAGAGGCCCCCAAGAGGCCCCAAGAGGCTCCCCCGAGGCACCCAAGACGCTCCTGGAAGCCCCTGGGGCCGCCAAGAGGCCCCCAAGACGCCCCAAACGGCCTCCAAGAGGCTCCCAAGAGGCCCGAAGAAGCTCCCCCAAGGCGCCCAAGACGCTCCTAGAAGCCCCTGGGGCCGCCAAGAGGCCCCCAAGACGCCCCAAAAGGCCTCCAAGAGGCTCCAGGACGAGGTGCCCGAACGCCTCACGCAACGAGGAGCCCGAACGACTCACACCACGACGAGGGCACCGAACGACTCACACCACGAAGAGCCCGAACGACTCACACCAGAAGGAGGGGCCCGAACGACTCACACCAGGACGAGGCGCCCGAACGACTCACACCACGAACGGAGCCCGAACGACTCACACCACGAGGAGCCCGAACGAGTCACACCAGGAGGAGGGGCCCGAACGACTCACACCAGGACGAGGGGCCCGAACAACTCACACCACGAGAAGCCCGAACGACTCACACCAGGACGAAGAGCCCGAACGACTCACACCACGAAGAGCCCGAACGACTCACACCAGGAAGAAGGGCCCGAACGACTCACACCAGGACGAGAAACCCCAAACGACTCAAACCACGAGGAGCGCTTTCTCTCCCTCCTCCTCCGCCTCGTCCTTCTCCCGCTCCCACCACAAGGAGGATGTACAAGGAGGCGGGAGGAAGGAGGAACAGGGGAGATATGCGGGGGCAGGCGGAAACACGCCTGAAAAACACAACTGTCGGCATGCTTCGCAAGAGTTGCTGTTTTGAGATGGGCTGGTGGGGATACGCGAAGCGTGAAGAATTCACCCCATAGCTTACACCCCGTAGCTTACACCACATAGTTTGCGACACATAGCTTACACCACAGTGGCATACCTTGATGGTTGTGGTGCATGCTGGCTGACATGTTTCAAGAACCATGCTGACTAACAATGCTGGAAGACAGGGAAAACACAATGCTGAGAATGCTGGACTCACAACTAACAACGCTGACTGAACATGCTACAGGTCCATACTGGCTAAGAACTCTGAAAAATAGTAATGATGCACATAATACTGAAAATGATGGGGGTTGTCTTCTTACTTCCGACAACTCCCAGTCATGGGACAGTTCCAAAAAGCAGGTATGGAATGATACCGTGCCCTGCCGCTGCAACGTCCGAAAAGCTGAGGTGCAATCCGGAGACTTCAAATGCAAGTTGGAGTGCCACGCAGGTTAGTGAAGGAGCGATAATACAAGCACAACGCAACAGAGACCCACTATCGGCGACGTGGGCGACTGTGCGTGCAACAATTGTTTTCCAACAGGCATGTCTCCAAGGTCAGGCGCTGACTGGTTCATTGGGAGACAGAGTCAAATGATCGATGAGGGGGGACAGTGAAATGGGAACGGGATAACATACATAGCCTACTAACAAACATGCCAGGCTTGTCATGCACGAACAAACGAGGTCGACTGAGCCGTTCCGCATGATGTAGCTCTGCATGTAAGGCCAATCATGACCGCATGTATGCTATGCATGCTGCTGACAAGAGGGTCCACAACGAGCTGCTCGGTAGCTAACTCTTCACAACTTCTGAGGAGCTCTTTCGGAAAGATAGACGCGTTCACGCCGAGGTCTTCGACCTAGCACGTGGAACTCTAGCCAATGCCAACTTTGTTTTGAAACTCTAGCAATGCAGATGTGCGCAAGCGTGCCCATACATTTGACCAAAGGGGCACGGGCTCACTTACGCTGCAAGAAGATGCAGCACAACGAAGGAGCAGGATGCCAGCTTCCAACACGATGGAAAGGGGAATCCACCCGGCAGGTTGGAGGCGGCCAAGTGGTCTGAGCTGGATAAGCCAAAGGAAAACTGTCAAGAGGGGGGGGGGAGGCAAATCCGCTCAGAGTCAGTTCCCAGATCCCCTGACCAGAACCACTGCTGGGCCACCCCCGGCCCACTGACAGCCCCAAGATTCAGGGGCCTGGGCACGACGGCACGATTCGGCGCAGGATGCCACACGCTCACAGCAGGGTGCCAAAAACTCACACATCCGCGTGCATGCTGAGGAGCAGCTGCCGCATGCGGCCACGATTCCTTGACACAATAATTTGCCAGCCCAACGGGCTAGAAGGCGTGCTACAATCTCCAGTAGGAGGCTCAGAGTATTTGTACGCAGCTAGTTCACGAGCGCATGGAGGCCCCTGGGGGTCCCCAGAAGAGATACCCTGGCAAGGTCCCAGGCAACCCTCACTCAGGCAACCCCCGGACAAGTCGGGTCAAATATGATTTGCTCTGGAGCGCAGGATCCCAAGACAGCCCCAGGACCCTCAAAGAAAGGCCAAGAGCGGCCCAGGAATGAGGATTGATGGGTGGCAGGCCCCAAGATAGCTCCGAGGTGGCCCTAGATTTTCAAAGACAGCACCCCGGAGGCCCAAAATCATTCAAATACAAAATTCAATGATTCTGGCTTTCTAGCAGTGTCGCATTCATTGGCTTCTCGGGCCTCAAGGTGGCCTCGCGATAACTCAAGATTGCTCCGAGTGGATCCCGAACAAACTCCAAGAGGGCTCCGAAGACTCCCAAGAACGCCACAGAAGAGGCCCTAGAGAGCTACAATTGAGCCCAACAGCGGTCCAGGAGCGGGGATCAATGGGTGCCAAGACATCCCAAAGACATCCCCAAGTGGCCCCAAGATAGCCCCGAGGTCACCATAGACGATCCAAGCAAGCCCCCTAGAGGCAAGCAAGAAGTCAAAATACTTCGAAAACCAAGTCTTGCTCCATACTTTCGGCATTATCAGCGATTTGCTTCTACAGGCTGCTCAGGCCTCAAGATGCTTCCAGTAAGGCCCAAGATGGCCACAACTACAGGTTGGCCAAACTCCAATAGGGCTCTGAATAATCCCAACAACGCCCCAAGAGAGGCTCAAGAGGAGCTACAAGAGGGACCAACAGCGGACCAGACGCGGGGATCCACGGGTGGCAGGCCCTAAGATGGCCCCACGACAGCCCCAGCAGGCCCTAAGATAGCCCCGAGGTAGCCCTAGACAGCCCCCAAGAGGCCCCCAGCAGGCCGAACCCCTTCAAAAACCGAATGTGGTTCAGTGATTGTGGTTTTCGCACTTTTTCACGTCCGATGACCTTTCCAGGCCTCAGCATGGCTCCAACGTCCCGCAAGATGGTTCCCAGTGGGGGCTGGACGGGCTCCAAGAGGGCTCCGAAGACTCACACGAGAGCCACACGAGAGGCCACAGAGAGCTTCGACAATGACCCAGAGAGGTACAAGAACGGGGATCCGTAGGTGGCAGTCCAAGACAATCCCCAAAAGGCCCCCCGCCAAGGGACTCAAATCTTTCAAACCATCCAACTTAATCCGTGAATCTGGGTTACTCCCCTTTACATTTCCTATGGACTTCTGCTGCCTCGGGATAGCTTCAGTATCGCCCAGGATAGCTCCAAGCGGAGCCCAGAAGAGCTCGAAGAAAGAGCCGATGACGCCAAAAGCTCCCCAACAGAGCTCTGGCAACGCGCCACCCAAGACACAAATACTCTTCAAAACACATAGAATCGGGTATCACAACCCAAGGTGCCCTTCAAACCCCGAAGTGACCCCAAATGGCTCGCTACAAAAGCCAAGAGGCTCCCGAGAGCTCCCAGACGCCTCTGAGACACCCACACAATGAGCCCCCGGAATCATCCCAGAGACTTACATGACCCACCGGAAACTGCCCCTGCCAAGACGTACGGATCCCCAGCCGACATAAAAATTAACGCTCCGTTCCGGGTGCGCTTGTACTACCCCTCGTGTCCTGACTCCCACTCACCCACAGCGTTTCCCAACATAATCGCATGCCAGTAATGACACAAAATGGGCCAGCAGAATGAGCGAAGCAATCACTGAATGATGATGGAACTGCCCCAACGCCCCCCAAGGCCCCGCAAGGCCCCGCAGGGCCGCCCATGGCTTCCCGTGACACCCAAGGGCCTCCCCAATTCAACCAAGCCCTCCAAAGGCTCCTCAGGTCCTCCGAAGGTCAAGGCCTCAAGGCCTCAAGGCGCTCGAGGTCCTCCGAGGGTTTCCCAGAAACGCCCAGGAGGCTGTCAGGGGCCACAGAGCTTCCAGGAGGCCCCCGAGGGGCTCACGGGTCCCCATGAGGGCCCCGAAGTTGGCCCACGATGCTCCACGATGGCACAAGATTGAAAAGCAGGTCCCGAGGGAGCCGCCAGAAGGCCCACAAGCGTTTCCAGCGCGTCTCCAATCGGACTGCCCTCAAGCCACAGGCCTGTCAGAGGGGAGTGCTGGCGGCGGAGGGAGAAGTCCTGCCGAATCTGGCCGCACCCTGTGCGTTGGGGCCGTGTCGGGCAACTGCATAGTCAGAAAGAATAGGAGCTGTCTTCTGCAAGTGTGGGCGCCTGTGACACCGCCCCCTCAGCAGCAAAAACTGTGTGTGTATGCCTGCAGACATGTACACACAAATATATATATATATATATACACACACTGATACCTACGTACATGTACACATGTACATGTATATACAGATGTGCTTGAAAACAATTACCATATAAGTGCATTGGACCGTAGAGAAAAAGACTCGTTGTTCTACCAATGTGGTATCCCTGGCATGTTTGGCCTCATGTTGACCCCGAGATGACCCCCAGGATGGCCTAAGATAGCCCAAGAAGGGGGGGCCCAGGAGGGCACTCTGATGGCCAAAGATGCGAGGCCGCCAAGATGGCCTGGAAGAGCGTCCGATCGACGGAAGACGAGCTGTGCAGAATCCGCAGCCCTTCGGCGAGTCTCCCCCCGCCCCCACTGGGACTCACCACACTTTGGCCTGACGCAGGAACGGTCAGCATCGAATCGACGCATCGGATCGGATCGGAACAGGCATCGGATCGATCGGGCCGCATCGGCACGGAGTCGAAGTCGACTCAAATCCACAGCGACAGGACGCACAGCTACCCCGTGCCGCATCGCATCACTGGGAAATCGAAATCGGATCGGAACTCGAGCCTGCCCAGAATCGACATCGAATCGAGCCTGTCAGATCGAGATGGGCCCTGCTTGACGTGCTCGATTGCCGCCCGAATTTCTAGTACACTCCGAGCGTTGGCTCTCCAGGTCCTCTGGCCCCCGCTACTCCGTGGCGAGGGAGTCATGCGCTGCCCCGAGTCACGGGCAGCGTGCAGCCTAGGGCGTGTTTCGCATTATCGCGCTTCTGGCGCCCGTGTGACCCCAACGAACTCGAAGACTGCATCCGAGCCATGCACCACGGCCCAGATGAGCCCCAAACGGTCGCCGGTAAGGGCCAAACATCCAGCCCAAAAGGCAACAAGTGGCAGCCAAGACGCCCCCAAGAGGACCCCCGGCGGGGCCCAAGATCGCCAGGATGGGGAAAGATGGGGACGCGCCACCAAGAGGCCACAAGAGGCTGCATAGAAGCATCGACCAGGAGGTCCTCAAGTCGATGGCTCCGAGAAGGGTCAGGACCAGCTCAAGGAGGGCTCCTAAACGGCTTCCGAAATCGCCAAAGAAGCGCCATGAGGCCACCAAGATAGTCTACGAGGCCCCAACACACAGATGACCCGGGCGTCCCGAGAGGCTCCGATGCTCCGAAACACTCCCAATATGGCCCAAAGGCTCCAAGACAACCCCAAGGACATCACAGATGGCCGTCTTGGGCCCCAGAGGCCGACAATTTCGACCAAAGGGCTGCTAAATGACGGAAACTAAACCCCGATGCTCCCCCAGTGTTGCCGTAACAGCTTGGGAAACGCACAAACAAGCAGCCTGGCCAGACCAATAGATTGGCCCACTGTTTGGTCGCATACACGTCGCCCGAAAGCAAGCACTCTTTTGGAAAAACAAAAAAAATCCATCCGCCACCGGCGAGTCCAGGGGAAGGTACAGGGGGCGCGGCTCCTCACAAGACTCAGAAGTCCTCAACCATTCCGAGAAACTGTTTAAGCCCTCTCCGAAAATGCAACGGCATCTCAGGGGGCGCGGAAGCTTTGAGAAGCGCTGGCGACTTCTGAACAAGACTGTCACCCCTACTTCTCCCCTGGGCCCGCCGCCGATGTCAGCCGTCAACGCCTGGGCGGTTCCAAACGGCCCCAAGACATTTTCCACGGCTCCCCAAACGGCCCCCCGAAGCATGCCAAGAGAGACCTCAAAAAACAGCAGAGGCAGCACGGGCCCCACGACAAGCCAAAGAGGCGCCAAGAGGCGCCCAAGACAACTCCGAAAGACACACCGATGCGCTGGGAGGCCGAAAAGCAACAAAAGGGGCCCAAATAAGTTAGATGCCTCCGACGACCACAAACACCGAAAACCGAAACACTGCTTGCGTCGGCGGCTAGGCAAAGTAGCTGCGCTGGCGGATGAGCTAACTAAACGGAGGCACCGTTGCAGCGAATTAAGCCACCATCCAAGAAGGTGGGAAGAAGGAAGGGCGGGTGGCCGAAAGGGGGGGGAACGGGGCGAGGGTCGCTCAGGGGGACTGGTCACGCCCGAAGGGGCGGCGCGGTCTGCCCCGCCGGCGGCGGGGTTCCAACGGCGGCGGGGCCCAGTGCGGGTGCCAGAACGCGTCCAGCGAGTCAAATGCACGATGCGGTCAGGAGCACCAAGCACCAGGCG